TGAAAGAGTGGCAAGGAGCAGAAAAGTGGAGAAAATGCTCACAGCTGCACATAATCCAGTAGATAAGGGACTGGGAGAAGGGCCTATACATCACCAGTAGGGATGGCAGGAGGAAAATACTTCTATAGAACAACCAGGTGCAAGAGGTGAAAAGAATGGATGGATCGCTGTGCAAGAATACAGGTAACAACACTTGGGAGAGACAATGGACAAACACAGAAGAATAAGAACAGGACAGAAAATAAGAACCAGGAAAATGAGTAGCAGTGGCAGAGTCTCTATCATTTACAGAACTATCACGTACTTTGAAAACTATCACAAGCCATTTCTGCAAACAAATGTACAACCACAAACTTCTGTCACAGTTTTCTGCTACTTCTAAAACATTACAGAAACATACATTGTGTCAGCTGTCAAAATTGATTCCAACCAGCTTAATTCTCACATAGTAAAAGGTTTAGTAAAGACAAATCATCTTTGATCCTGTATTACCTCTATGCATAACACGACGAGAATGCATATGTTCCAAGGCACTGCAAAGCTGAACAAAGTACTTCCAAACTGTTCTTTCAGGAATCAACCTCTTCTGTTTCTTAAAATGCTTAAAGAAAAAAGGATGGACAATGAATATTAAAATTTCAAATTTGCATAAAATTACTGAAAAACGACAGAAAATCCTTCATTTAAAGACAAACAACTACAAGAGGCTCACAACCTAATGAGAAAGGTTTAACAAAATTTCTTGACACAAAGACCTTTTCTCTTCAATATTAATACATGTATCATCAATGTATGTGTTTGTCAGTCCACACATAAAGCCACAAATGACACCCATGGAATAAAACCGCTATCCTAAAAAAGGATTTATACAGTATTCAGCTATCTTCATTGCAGGATTAATGTGGTCAGAATAGTCTAGCATAAAGTGGCCACAGAACAAATTAAAGTCAGATACAAGGTTATGTGCCACAGAACTTCCCAAACTAAATACTTCCTTACACCGACATTATTTCCATACCCTCTTTTTCTAAAAAGAACTGTACAGTAGTACCACATAGTCACATACAAAGATCACGTAAGAAGAGTTGATCAGTGTTAGAAACTTTCACAATATCCAAAAGAGGACTAAAGGAACTGTGATGGTTGAAAATTTCATAGTGATCTAACTCCTGTTCAAATACTTTCCATCCTGTATGAACCACCATTACTGATCACTGGTAACAGTTCAATAACCTGTTAAAGCTCACACAAAACATAATTATGCTCCACTACACACATCTCCTTCGAGTATTAGATGCAGGAAGTGGAATAACAGTCATCCAAAGACACACTCTGAAAACCCAGGATTCAGCCAATGCTAAGATGTACAGGTTTAACCATTATAAATGTTGCAGCTAAAGCTAAGAAGACAGAAAAATTATTGCTTGTTTAGCCTCTTTTTAAGTAAATGCTATAGTGTCAATTTTAAAGTTAAGCACATGAAAAAATACATAAACAATATCAATACTAGCAAAATTTCAGCTAGAAAGCAAAGTACTTGGATGCATTTTAATAGTGTGCATACACACACTCTTCACACTTGTGCATGCCTTAAGAAAGTTCACATAAACACTTATTAATTTGGAGAAATATTTTTGTATCCTATGTTAAAACGTGCCACTGAGGAGTTGACAGCTGCATCTCCATATTAGAGGCACACAGGAGTGTAAGAATGCTGCTTTGAAACTAGCTGTAGCAAAATGCATCAGTCATACAAAGGATCGTAATATTCCACCAAAATGTTTTTCGTTCTAGGGATTATTTCAAAATGCATTTTCATTTAAATGAGGCAAAGCATATAAATTACATCTTTAAATATAATTTTCTTTCAGCCTTGGACTGAATCCAAAACAAACCCTGTGTATCTGTTCTCCCCATAGCTGGATTTGCATATCAGAGGATTGTTTGATGTCAACAGGAAGATGGAGACCAGGTTTCTTTTCATTTAAAAACAAATACACAATACGTGTAAGTATGTGCACATAAAAGCAGAGTTCCTTGATTTAAAATGCATCCTGAAATTATCCTAATTATAACTAGGTACTTTATATTTAAACATTCTGAATTATTATTTTTTAACTCGAATGTAAGCACAAGCAGTGATGAAACATCATTCACAAAATGTCTGAAACAGGAAAATTTGCCATCACAGATTTCCATTCCCATGTACCTAAAGTACAACAATGTACTTCCAAAGTATTTATGTACAAGTTTGCTTTTAGCATTTTATTCACTTGCCACCTTTAACACTGTAGCTGACTGCACACTACAGAACTGGCTTCAGTTCTTACAGTGCAAGGACGCAACCCAAGCATGTCAGATCCAGGCTCTTTCTCCTGAAGGCATAAATAATTTTGCAGGACAATAACAACCTTTTCCTGAAAGCATCATTAGTATTACTTAACCCCACAGAATTTATCCACCTGAAGAAGATGGAAAAAAGAGCTGCTAGATTTGCTAACAGTGTTAAACAAAGAAAGAGGCACCATTTTCACTTGCGTAGGGTTAAAAATAAGGTTTAAAATAAACTCAGACATACATTGGGGTTTTTTGGTAATTAATTACACTACCTTCTTCCATCCAAATACATGTTCTCAGTGTTTTCCTGGGCTGTTGGCCACCACTAGGCAAAACAGTGATGAAAAGCCTCCACTATCAAAAAGATTAATATTACAAAACTAGCTATTGAAACAAAGTTGTGTGTTTCTAGGAAACAGTCCAGCAGGCACTGCTAATTCTGAGAAAAGTCAGTAAAGAAAAAGACTTTCATTCCTGTTTAGAACCTTACCTTCTAACAAGAAATAAATTGATGGAAAACATGGTCAAACCTATTTCGTGCCGAACGAATAATTAAATTCATATAACACATATTAACTGCATTCAAAGCAGAATTCTTTCCTTTCTCCTCCATTTTAAAATAGTTCACCATGCAAAATGCAGTTCTAGTGCCTGTGGTGTTTGTTCCCTCCCTACAGGGAAGTCAAAATGCAGAAGACAGATGCTGAAACAATTTTTAACCTGTACTGCAGCAGAGCACAGGAGCATCACAGTCGATCCCGAAACTAATTCACTGCCTAGTGCTGTAATGCCTGAAGCATCCTAAGGTCCACACAATCAAGTCAACTTAATGGAGTTATCTCCCATTGTACAAGTTGATATTACCTGCCCAAATTTGGCCTCAGAGGAATACAGCCTGACATGCAGCTTTCTGAAGTACTCTCATCTTCGACATTTCACTATTCTGCTCCTTCCACTTGTGTGAGACTCAAAGGACAGTCCTCATGTCCCTCAGACCACTGACCTGCTAGGGTGTGACATTAAAAAAACATGATCCTGTTTGAGGTGAAAGATCAATCTCGAAACAGCTGAAACTGGGCAGAAAGTGCTCATCTATGTGCATTCAAAATTTGGGCAGTGCTGCAAGCCAGTGTTTTATCAGGTAAACAGAATACCAGGCATGCTCAGGCAGCAGGCTGTCTCCCAGCAAGAATTATTTGTTTCAAAAGCCATATCCCATGAAATTTCCATCTCAGTCTGAGAATTGAATCACAAAATACTACTTTGAAGAGTCTTCACAATATCAGTACAGAAAAAAACCCTGCAATTCGGTCATTTAATACAATTGGAAACTTTTGTGGTCATAAATTTGCTGTTCAAATGCCTTTAAGAGCTTTAAGGCAGGCAGGCTGTATCCCCAGCTCCTATTTTCTGTCCTTTTCTACAGAATGACTGAGCAGTTCCATTATGGGAAAACAGAACTCTCCAGGTTCTCTAATGGATTGTGAAAAGAAAAATTAAATGTTCTCCAAATGTTTCCATCCCAGGCAAGTTAAACATAGCTGCCCTTCACCTAAACAGCATATGCCATTCAGTTTCTTGGATGTATTTAAATAAAAAAAAAAAAATAAAAAAAAAAAAAGGAAGTAAAAGTTATATGGGAAGAAAAGTTTAAAGTCAATATGAAAGCATGAAATTATATTATACTCAGTTTCTAAAGATGATGCTTTAAAGGTCAAATTCCAAAAGTAAAAGTGACAGCAATTAGCAAATGGTATTACCTAGGCTTTATAAGCACAGGTCAGAAAAGACTCTTAAAGGAAACACACAGGACTATGTTTGGATTTTATAAGAAAAATAAGGATTTCCTGCAGGTGAGGAGACAGTGAACATAGATGATTTCAACACAACTGGAAATTTCAGATATGACTGCTTACATCTCAGTAACCATGTCTGGAAAAAATTAGCATTCAGTTCTGATGTTGGTGTATCAGAGGGTTTTAAGGTGTGATTTAGCCTGGTTTAGGCCTCACTGAATAGGACTGAGAATAAAGACAATCATCCAATGAGTTTTTAAGAAGCAAACTGGACTAAAGAAAGAAAGATATATGAACTTATCTTGAAGAAAGTTGATAAACTGATCGCCTAAATTTTGTAGAGTCCTTATTTTAAAATAGAGAAGAGCTGTGAAATTGTCAAACAAGCCCAAGAACATGTACCTGAATTTTTCACTGTGTATGCTCTAGCCTAGAATTGCCTTCTAAAAGACTATTTGGGAGAAAAGTAAAATGAGAATGCTCATTTCTTTGCTTTAAACAGATTACTTTCCCTTTCTTTCATGATTTGATGAGGATCTGGATCTCACCCTTTTGTTCTCATGACTTCACTTCTGGCTTACAAAAATATAAAGGGTGGTTTGTTGGGGCTTTTTTATAGTTTCTTGCAAAGACTTATCAGAACACAGTGATTCAACAACCAGATACTAGTGGGAAGAAATCTGAACTGCATCAAGAGGAAAGCAATGTAGAAATTACTATTACACAGAACTTCTGAGTAACATGTAATGAAGTTCTTGACAGCTTTTGACTGTTTCTTCAGGAGGCTTTTTTCTTGAGTAACATGTAATGAAGTTCTTGACAACTTCTGACTGTTTCTTCAGGAGGCTTTTTTCATATGGACTAGCAGAAAGAACAGAGAGGGGAAGGAAGAGGTCAGGCAGCTGTAATAGGGAATTATGAAAGCACAAGCAAGAATTCTCACCCTGTGACTACAACAGAAGCAAACCAGCACTGGCAAGAACATACAGGGTCAAAATGACAGACCGGTGAAAGTGGACCTCAACATCTCTGTATTTTGGAGGCTCATGTATATAGAAATGAAATATCTACACAAACCTCATTTTCTGTTAAAAAAACTATATCATTCTAGTAGCAAAGCAGTGTCCCAGGAATTTTGCCTAGCTCTGTTCTGCCATGAATTCAGCTGCCCATCTCGTTAGACCATGGAAAGTTTTCTGCCATTTTTCTCTGCTTTCTATGCAGAACAAAAATAGAACTTCCCACCACATCCTGCTTCATTCATTCAATTTCATCACAGCGTGATCAAATTTGCCTACATTTCAAGAGTAGCAGCTGTCTCTTAGTTGTAAAAAGAGAAAAATACAGGAAAAAACCCAAACTATTTGGCATCTACCAACTGAACATACAGAAATTAACAAGTATTCAGACAATAAAATGACTAAAATAAAAATATTTACCTGGTTCTTTTTCCAACTTTTCTTTACAG